CCATGTGATGGATGCATGAGAGAGAAGTATACAGGATTATAGTTGATTTGACCTTTTCTTGGGTTGCTCCAACCATTAAGAATGAAAAACATTTTCATAGCCATGTGATTTAATAGCATAAGATGAACCATGGTGGATCAGACCAAAGACCTACTTTATCAAGTGTTCTCTACTCAAATTGGCCAACCACATAACTATGCAAAACCTACAAGCCAGATATATCTGGCAAGAGCACAATCTTGTTCCCCAGTGCTTGTTTTTAGACATTTTTAATCTTACCATGATTAAAGGGTAGCATATCTTTTATACATTTGTCTAATAAAAACTTTAAATCCATCCCTGATAACAAAACTGATTAACACCAGGTTTGAACTGAGCTCGTGTATATAAATATATATAAACATTGAGTTCAAAATGCACACAATTATGTGTTATACTATATACTTCAGTAAGGCATGCATTTTGTTCCTGCTGGACTGATGGCAATGCTTTTTGAACATTAAAGAACACAGAATATCCCTCCTAGAGAGATTATTGGCAAAGTGAATTATTGGCTTGCCCAACTCACTGAAATATTTGTGCTTTTGCATTACAAATTCAAATCTTGCACTTTATTGTACTCAATTTTAGTTCAACCTAGTGTTATTTTTCATAGCTGGATTACTATTAAGGCACGGGTGGAACGCTTATATGTGAACTCATTCCAAGTTGCTGGAGTAATTCCATTACTTTTCTTATTTTATTGTGCTACCTTGCTTGTATAGAAGTGCTTTTTCCTTCACTTTCAGCTCATCTAGATACAGGCTCTGGACTATTTATCACTTCTTTTTCTAGCAAAAACTAGATTTCTCATTTTGTTAAAGTAGTGTATTATTTTAATTGCTTGACAACTCTCAATGACATGTACTTGACCTTTCACAAGCACACTTTTGACCCATCACCAGGCTCCCAGAGGACTCATTTACTGGGAAGATTAATATTCAATAAGAGCTTGTTAAAATAAACATGCTAACACAATCCTGATTAAAACATTTCTATGGATAAATGATCAAGGTCATAATCCAAAGAGTCATGTTCAAACATTCTATGTACTAATTTATTTTTCTCTAAAGATTGGTCATTAGGCAATAGATTAGGTAAACAATATCAGAGGAATTGCATTGAATCTGAAAAATGCCAAGATGTGTGAGATGTTAAGATTCTTTGGAGTTAGGATATACCCTATGCCAGGGGTAGGCAACCTTGGCTCTTTTATGACTCGTGGACTTCAACTCCCAGAATTCCTGAGCCAGCTTGGCTGGCTCAGGAATTCTGGGAGTTGAGGTCCACGAGTCATAAAAGAGCTAAGGTTGCCTACCCCTGCCCTATGCTTTTCTTGATTTTTTAGCTTGAACATGGTCTATTGACACAATTAAGAGATAAGCAGTGAAGTGGAAAGATATGAGGCTTGGTCCAGAGAAAACCGAGCTCAAATCCCCACTTTAATGTATATAATACATAAAGATGTAAAAGGCATGTGTGAAAAAAATATACACACGAACATATGTATGTGTACACAGAGAATATAAAAATATAAGATATATAAATATATAATTTATAGTTGTACACATTTATAGTTTTATTTACAATGGAACTCAGTGGGCGACCCTCTGAGTCTCACCTACTCATAGGATTATTGTGGGGATGAAATCAGGGGGAAAAAACTATTGTACCCTGAGAATGGGCTTTCACAAAAAAGCAGGACATAACTAGCCAACTTTAAAAATGAGATTAAACGAGCAATGGTTTAAGAGCTTGATTCTTTGTTGGTTTTGCAGTGGTGAACTATTGTAGCTTTCATTATAGTTACTACAGCTAAGCAGACTGAAAATAGATCAATTACAAGTTGCATGAAAAGTTCCTCTCATCTGCCAACAGCCCTATAGAAGTTGTAATTCCGCAAAGCAATGCAGAAAATGTAAGCAACTAATTTCCACTAAAATGTGAGCATACAACTCGTGTAGATCATGGTAAGATTCTCACAGCAAGATGAAATGGAGTTTAACGTACGTATGAAGGGAATTACAGTTTTACGTCATTTATGCAGATGCAAGACCATCATCACTATTTCTTCCATTAAAGAAATTGCTGAAATAGCACAAGAAATTGCCTTTTAAACAATTTGTTCAATACCCTATGCAAACTACAAGACACTGCAGTAGTCCCTAATATCAAGCTTAATCAAAAGATGTAGTCAATTTGTACCTTATCTGAATTTATGTACAAAGAACCTGACCATAAAAATTGTATGTATGTGTTACCCTATCAGTCTCTTCTGTAGCTTCTCCAGTCTCTGAAAAGCACATTGGGATAGGAGAGATTAACCCCAAATTTGGGTCTTATAAAGCTGTAGCTGATAGAAATCTCAATTATGCTCCCTAACTCCTGCATGAGAGACACTTTCTCCTCAAAAAGATGGGATTTCAAACAAGTGTTTATTTCATTTGGTGCTTCAACAGTTGCTTCTCCCTCCAAAAACAGCCATAGTAAATCACATTCGTCACCTTGATGCCTTGCAATGAACAGTAATATTCATTACATACTGCATGACATCTACAGTGTATGATTTTAAAAAGTTAACCACATAAATCAAGACTTTCATGGGACATAAAATGACATGAAGCCATGGCCAAAGACATCAGAATGTCATTAAAAATTCAAACGTATTTAGAACAAATTTTTTAAAAGGCACCAGTCTATGAAGTAGCAAGATGTGACAGAAAAGAATACTGAAAATAAGAATTGATTCCTGCTTGATAATGGTAAAATTGTGCATTTCCTTCCAGACTGTAAGAATTCTGTGACAATAGAGAATTTCAGTTCTGTAGCACAGAAGCACAACCTAGAGCTACATGTGGCTCCTGCAAGCCTTAGTGATCCAGAGACCTGCAGTGTTATTTTTTTTTTTTAATGTGGCAAAAAGATTAAATACCCGATTAGGGAGTAATCATATTATCTTTCATTAAATTTCAGTATTGATGAAAACAAAGTCAAATATTTATCTTGGCCTCAGGATAATTCTTGGGAATGCATCCCAAGCATTCCCTTCAAGGCCATTCCTTGGCTTGGAAAAAATTATGCATTCGGTTGAAATTAATTTCTGAATCTATTAGAACATCTGGTTCAGAAATAGGGTTCCAAGTTAGAAGGAGCAAGCATCTATTAAGAGTACTTCCATAAGATGGTACGAATATTTAACTTGATCATATCTGGAGAGCCAGTCCACCCATTACAAATTCAGAACAAACTTTGATTGTCCACAGCAACCCTACGCCAACCTACATTTTCAAGTTTATTGTAAACAGTGAGTGTATTTTAAAAAATAATCCTGAGCACAGCCTGCCTTTAAAAAAGACACAGCATGTTTGGCTCATTGAACTACTACATTGGTTTCTGTTTGCAGGAAAGAGAATATATAGTATAAGACTGAAATAGGACTGCATGCCATTTTGTGTGTTTTTTAATTTCAAAAAGCATTGGCTGACTGAATACAAGTTTATTTCTTAATAGATATGGAAGCTTACAACAATTGTGAGCATTGTCAAATGGAGTACCTCAGGAAAGCAGAGAAATTTTCTAAAGCATATTTGTAAAATAGCTATACAGTTTAAAACAAGTATTTTGGAAAAACTGAATTAACATTGCATTATAATATGAGACATACCTTAGCATCAGTCACAACAGAGCCTTTAGTCATTATTTCTTTGGACTCCATATGTTGGCCTGATTTTTGTTTAGCACTGTCTTAAAAAATATCTACTCATGGAACTCAGGTGTAAATTTCAGGGCAATAAAATTAAGCCCTCTAATAACAGTTAAATGCAAAGTGGTAGAATTGCACATGCTATCTAATTGAATTAACTCCATTTCACTGCCCAGTGCAGAGCATGAGAGAAGCAGAATATTTAATAGCAAGAAAACATTCAATAACACAGGTTAGAAATATATTCCAGGAAGGTACTTCTTACAGAATTACTGATAGACATTTAGGGAAAAACAATTGAATTTATTAAAAAAAATAGAAATTTTGTTAATTTGAACACCATTCTTTTATAAGCAGCTAACGAAGCCAGTTTAGATACTGATGAGCAAGAAAAAATGATTTCCTTCAGAATGTCTCCTCTAAGCATTGCGTAAACAGACCAGCCTCACTTCCTGAGTTTTCTTCAAGGCTTTTTGAGAAACACACACAAATAATTAGATTTAGTCAATTTTATTTACATTTTTGTACATTTCAGAGCATTACACAATTACATTTTCCATATTTTCTGACCTGCAAACAGATACCTTAAATGGAAATATTTTTTAAAAAATGCAGTTCGATACATCCAAATGCAACAATTACACATCTGACAATTCACAAAGTGTAATTTACTAGGACGTATCCTAAGGATTTAAGAACAAGTAGTCAGGAAAAAAAAATCTGACTTAATTATTTACACAACACAGAATTCTCAAGCTAACCCTTAGAACAAATGTCCTAGGAGCACCCTCCATTCCCCAACAGGAAATTATATAATTCACACTTAATGCAGCATTAACAGTCCTTGATCCCATACACGCAAGGACTGCCCAGGTCTGATGTGAGCAACCGACTTTCTCTTACACTTGCCAAAACCTGAAGAGTGTATGTTTATCCTTGGGTGCATAGCATAATTTTGAGCATTTGAAAAAAAAAAAGTGACCACAGACTTATTTATTAATTATCAAGTCTACCAGAGTTCCAATTAGACTGGTTTCTAAAGGGATTAAAGTGGCCAGCAGGAACAAAAGCAGTTTTAGGCATAGGTGAACTCTTTGGGCTCACTTCCATTGGGAAAAATCACACAAATAAAGCTTACAAGTGAGACAGAAGCTAGGATTCTGCATTTAAGGTGGACTGTCCAGTTAAGCCTGCAAATCCCATCACTTTAGACTGATTTCCCTCCCCTCCCATCTCCACCTTGAAATGGTGTATGTATATATATATAGTGGGTAGAAACTAGTAAAAATTCCCTGCAAATAAACTGCTCTCCAGCTGAGGTTATGGCTCCTGTGCATGGGGTGGGCAAAGGAACTTCTTAACTTTTACAAAGAAACGTAAAGAGTTCTCTTGAAAAATACTGAGCTCTCGCTTAAGGTTAATCTGATTGCATGTACAATTTTTTAAATTAAGGTTAACTTTCAGTCAAGACATTGCTACAAGTGGAAATTTCAGTATAAAAAAGCAGCCAACTGAGTGCATTTTTTAAAATCTAATTGGCCCAAGTCCTTCAAAATAGTTAACTGGGTTAGACATGCCGTGGGGCCTCCACATTTCTTGCCTACCTTACTTTGTTCATGTTTCGAACTGTGTCAGCAGGGCCCGAACTTCAGGAGTTAGCTGCTTAGCAGCCTTGGCTGCTTCTGTAATGGCCTTGCGGTAAAGACCTTTTCTCTTCTTATTAAATCGCGACTGAAAGTTTTCTAAAAAGGGGGAGAGCTGTGAAAGAGCAAGAAAAGATGTTGTTGGGGACCCAAACCATGAAATACGAGCTTCCTGTCGGACTAATAGGCCATTATCTTTTCGGCTCACAGTTATAGTAAGAATACGGGCTGGCCACCAGGGGAAGCCATATATCTTGGCCCAAACAATGTCTCCTACACATATGGTCCTGCCATCTGGTGTGACACATTTAGAGACATTTTTTGAAAAGACTTTCATTTTCAAAGAATTACTGAGCTTTTTCTCTTCCTTTAAAGAGGAGGAAGAGGAGGAGGAGGAGGAAGAGGAAGAAGGTGCATGCATGCTGCCTGGAGGAAAATCAAAGCTTTCAGTAGTGCTACACTCAGAATTGGAGGACTTCAAGTCATCTGTGCTATCACTACTACAGACTGATGCACTGGAAGAGTCAGGTTGCTTTTTATTAAGGGTCATGTAAACTGTAATATTGCTTTTGCTGCCTCTCTTGCCCATGGTCTGCTGTTCATCCTGATCAACAGGTACATGCACTTCATTTGTGTCCTGAACCTCACTGCTGGCCTCTTCAGGACCTTCTGAGGGGCTCTGATTTTCTGAAGGGGCCTCACCTGCTGAGCGGGTAGACGAGCAGCGAGACTGGGGCTTAGCTGCCATCTTGCCACTCTGCAATTTCTCCAGCCCTGTCTTGAGAGAGGAGTCATTTTCTTCATTTCGGTACCTTTGTGGCTTCAGACGCAATCGGGGAGGCAGAGAACCTGAGCTGGTGTTCTGAAGACGCCGCGTGAAGTGGACCTTTGAATGTGCATTTTTGGAAGCTGAAGTTGCACTCTGTTTCTTTTGTGCCTTTTCTTTGGCTATTTTCAAAACTTCCCTAGCTTTTGCATGATCCATGTTTTTGCTCTGAAGAACTTTTTTAGTATTCAATTGGTTTTTTGATGTATTTGCTTGAGTGGGAACTTTGACTACTCTGCTTCTGTTGTGGACAATATTTGCAACTTTGACCACAGAATTCTTTTTCTGGCTTTCACTCTGACTTTTCCCATCAACTTTATGATCAGTTTTAATTTTTTTATTCACAGTAGTTAAGCTCTCATTTCTTCGTTTCCTAGTATCCTCACACCTTGAGGAGTCACTTGCATTGCTGCCCTTCTTAATTTCTTTCTTTTCTGCAACAACACTGTTCTTACATTTGTCACATAAAACCTGTCTGGGTCGCAATTTGATAGCATTCATAATAGAAGTGGGTTCCTCCCTGTACAATTTTCGCTTGGGCCGCTTAATTTTTCGAGGTGGAGGTTGAGGTATTGATTGGTTATATGTGTCCCTGATAAACAAAGGAGGAGGATATGGAGCCCCCACATGGAAAAGGGGAGGCGGGTTGGAAGTCCATAGGCTTTTAACCAGGCTATGTTCTGATGGCTGGATGGGAGAAGAGTCTGTGACAACACCGTTAGCTTCACATTTCACTTGCGTCTCATCTTGGAATGATTTACTTTGGAGCTGCATGCCATCAGGTTTATCCTTGTACTCCCGTTTGGGAAATATAGTCACAGGAATTCCGTGAGGTCCAAACCTTAACAAGAGAGAAAAACACAGTTAACTGCCAACCTCTATTTGTTACCTTTTAGTAGTTTATTTGAGGAACATTTTGAATACCATAATATACTCAAATTTAAAGGGCATTCCATGGCCCTTTACTACCAAATGAGAGCCGTTTGACTGACTTGAATGGCTTTAAAAAAGATTATAAGTTTATATTCATCAAGAGTTTAAATTTGACATTCACATTTTTTGACTTTATGATTTAAGGCAATAGCTTCTAAATTGTCAGTCCTGAAATACCTTTTTCCATCCTGGTCTGCTTGCCCAAACCCCATATGAACTGGAAAGGAAGTCAAATGACAGAAGACTGCAATTGTGTGTGGGGGGGAGAGGGAGGGGAATGTGCACTGCACAACAGACAGATAGGCAAGTTCTCATTCAAACAAATCACTTTTCTAAGTACAAAGTATCAATTCACTAGATGGTTATGCAGTCCATATACGAGGTTGAGTATACATGAGGTTCTTTCCGGCTTGTATGCACAAAATCTGATGAGAACTCAAATACTTTTTTCCATTCTACCTGGTAATAACCTAGATAACTGAGATACCTAATAATGAAAATCTAGTCTAACTGTGTCAGCCTCTCATCTATTTTAAAACAATATAATCAGTTCAAGTAAAGAACACAATCATAAATGGTAACCATGATTGGTTTTCTCAACTGTACTCCACAAGCTTGAAATAACTTTGTTTAATAACCAAAGGGCTATTGATAGTAGCACTGGCATAAAAAATATGTAACTGGCATAAAAATAGTTTGTCCAGTTTAAATTATTTAAGAGTATAGGCTTAACAACTTTGTATGACTCAATATGATTTAAACAAGATCATTTATTTCTCCCTTATTATTATGTAGGTAATAACCTTACCTACACAGGAGTTTCCAAAATGACTGGAGATGGGACATAAAGAATTTCCACGGGATCTTTGTGATGACATAAACGTTTTGGAAAACTTAGCATTAATGAGACCATGATTTTCAATTAGAAATCAAGCAAATTGGGAACACTGGGCAGGCTGATGGGAAGAAGGGAAGTACTGCAAAGGTTGGCAGATATGTGGCAGGAAGACTGGAGCTGGGCAGGAGGATAAGAAAATTGGCAGCAAATGACTACAAAAACGGGGAGGGAGGAATGGAGACCTGATGCACAGTATACTTTGGAGCATGAATGAAATTGTGGAGAGACAGAAAAACTGAGGTTTTAAAATATTAAAAAGGAAAGGTGTTACTGAGAAGTGGAATACATACTCTAGCATATGTTACAGAGGTGCTAAGAAGGTCAGCTGAGACTGCCAATTATTAGATATTCCCAAGCTACGTATAATACAATCCCACTGAGAGAACTACGAATTTAAAGAATCAACCCAATATTTATTGCTGTGCTACCAACGTCTCACTTTAAGCATGGATCTTCTGCTATTCTTTTCATTTAGAACAATTAGACCATTATGACTGAATATAATATGCCATCACTTACATTGTTCGGCTCTACTGCCAACCCAGTGATGGCAGGATGCCTCCGCCTTCCCCCATTGCAGGGTTAGATAGTAATGGCAGGATTGACACCCATGAGAAAGTAAGCAGAAGAAGTAAGGAGAAGCCGGATGATGTAAGTGAGGGCAGGATGCCTCCGACTTCTCTCGCTGCAGGGTTAGATAGTAATGGCAGGATTGACACCCATGAGAAAGTAAGTAAAAGAAGTAAGGAGAAGCCGAACAGGACGGATACAACGTTTGATCGGCTGGGACCAATTACTAGATCCAGGAGTCGCGCGCAGGCTTTGGCTGGTGTATAAAAGTATTTTCTCCCATTTAGTCATTTGTACCCTGATGATGTTGGTAGATTCCAACGAAAGCTAGGTCTGTTATAGCATTTTAAAATCTTTTAAAATTTTTAATGTTTTATTAAAACTTTTAATGATTTTAACTTTCCTTGGTGTTCACTTTTATTGTTTTACTATGGATATGCCCAGGGATCATTCATCTGTTTAAAAAGTTCGAAATGGCTATTCCAGTTCTCCCTTAATTCTTTGTTAGCAATCCAAATTTTGATATTTCACAGAAAGGTAATTTTCTACTTAAGACCTCATTTTTATTAGGAAATGTTACATATATCAATTCATTCCCCCCCCTCCCATGAATCTTTACAAATGGTTATCCAATCTTTTCTTGAAAATCCCGAATGATGGAACACCCACAAGTCAGGGAGCCAAGCAGTTCCACTGATTAATCATTTTCATTGTCAGAAAATTTTTCCTTATTTCCTGGTTGAATCTCCCTCTGACCAGCTTTCACCTATTGCTTCTTGTTCTGCCCTCAGCTGTGATGGAGATTAAATTGACACCCTCTTCCCTGTGACAGTCCTTTAAGTATAAGAAGACAACTATCATGTCTCTCCTGAGCCTTCTCTTCACAGGCTAAACTATATAATTCCTTTAGCCATTCATCATATGGTTTTGTTTCCAGACCCCTTATCATCTTTTTTGCTGATCTCTGCACTCTTTCTAGGGCCTCAGCATTTTTTGCATTGTGTGCTCAACTTACCTATTATTTTGCAAATATTTTGGCAGCCTAGTCATAACTAGTAACTCCTTTAAAAAGTCTTACTGAATTTGTCATACACTTTTTTCCATGGGAAAGTTCTGTTGATTTGCAACATCTCAAGACGGATACTGAAAATGTTTCCCCATCCCAAACATTTTTAGACTTCTATCAGTTAAATCCAGTATAACCAGTGATGATGGAAGATATAATCCAAATGAAAATATATACTGAACTCTTGAGCACAATCTAAATAATACCAAGCAAGCACTTTTCAAGAACTAAAAGAATATGTATATTTAACTTTCTCATTGAAATCAAGAAGGCTTAAGGCAGACATGTGAAACTTGCGATGTCACATGACGTCACGCGACATATCAGAACTTTTCCCCCATTGCCGGCAATGGGGTGGGCGCGGTTAACTTGTGATGGGTCCAGCCTGCGGGCCAGCAGTTTGACATCCCCTGGCTTAAGGCTTCATATTGCATCAATTATTCTTCTAGCATTAGATTAGATTCAGCTTTCTAGCTAACCTGCTAATTTGATGTTGCACCTTTCCTCACTTGACAATTGTGAGAAAATAAAATATTGGACTATATTTCATCTATACTTTAGCTCTTTTCAAGTCCATCAGACTCACTCGGCTTTTCTATGATGACATCTATCAAGCACGTTATAGCCTATTAATTATTTTTATGAACTCCTGAGCTAGAGAAATTAACACCTGAAAATGACCTGACATGCCTTATGGGTTTTTAAATCTATATCAACATACAATACTATAGCTTGTGAACAGTGAGTCCCAATTGCTGCCAATGTACATTTTCCAGCAGGATTCAATGCAGCAACATAGATTATTAATTCCAGTATTTAAGATTCTTTCATAGAATTCAAGGTTAATAGTTTAGCTTACCATATTAGTTTTATGTACACACACTTCAAAAAAAATGCAAACATAATTTTCCTTCTGCCAGCCTCTAACTGGTCTCCTCCTATCTTTCATCCATTTGAATTGCTGCCATAATTCAAGACATACCTTTCCCTGCTTTTTTCCTACAGCCATATTTAGGAGTGGCAGAGTAGCTGCTGTTTCATGGCTTGTAGTAAATTTGGTAAAATAACTATTTGTCCCAATTCTGCTTGCTTAGGGCCAAAGATTTATCCTAATGGTTCCTGTGGCTACAGAAATTTTACTTTTATTCGCACTAGACTTTATTTCACTTGATGTTTTTTAAAAAGTGCTAGCTTCCAACATAGTATTTTTTTTTATTTGTAGCTACGTCTCTGCCCCAGAGCAGGCTTTCCGGAGTAGCAGAGGGCATCACAATGATGCAAATCTCTCAGTAAATTAATATTTTGTGACTGGTCATGCTACCACGTCTTTCCTTAGCCTTTCCTAATATTTTACTCTCTGAATCCAAGCTTTATCTGTGCTCTTCCTCAAGATCATCAGATCCTACAAAAAAGAGAGAATACTTAAATATTTCTTTGTACGATACTTTTATAGCACAATCCTGTAACTATTTGTATATTCATTTATTTAAAAAATAGTGGTATAAAATTGTAAACATTCAAGAGGAAAAAAACAAGTCTACTGTAGCTCAGGGACAGAAAAGCATTCCTCATCATTGAACCTCTTAAAAGGACTGCGAGAAGTCAAGGTGACAATATCTGGACAGATAGGAACCATGTTGGAGTTATCATCTTAGCCAGATAATTCCTATTCACATTCAGTCATGAAAAGTCACATGACAGGCTGCTATCCTAGCAATGTTCTAAAGTAAAATGGGCAACCTTTATTTTTATGAAGGGCCACCTTTGGAAAAGTAGCATGTTAAGGTTTCCATTAATAGTAAGAGGGCTGAAGCAAATGGTAGGCAGGGCCACCGTTTGTCTTTGATACTCTTTTCTTTTTTGTTCTCTTTCTTCTCATATAGTGGGCTGCTGGGAAAGAGATAGGATTACCTTTGGTAGCAGTCTCAACTGCCTGCTTACAGAGGGTTCTAGAAAGTAATTTTAAGGAATGTTGTTTCATTTTTAATTCAGAGCCATCCTGGATAATGTTAACTTTTGGCCTGCTAATACCTCCAGCCCCAAGAAAATCCCTTCATGAAACCAAAGTTTCAGATGACCACTAAGGAGCAGTCTGAAAGATGAGAGGAAAGTCACAAAAAGACAGCCTTACAAGTAATATAATTCAAGGAAGATAATATGGAGTTATTCTAGCAACCACATGTGTATGAAATTACTACATTCATAGTATGCTAAATTATACGCATACTAGTTCAAAATGGATAGCTCAAAAAAAGTTACGGCTGAAAATATATATGCAGTACATACATATATGCAGTACATACATACATGCAGTACATACATACATACATATATGCAGTATGTAGTACTTCCCTACTTTATGTAATAGCCACTT